TAAAATGTTTTTTTTTGTATTTAAACAGAACCTGCTAGTCATTTGCCAGGTCAATAATAGGCTAAACTACCCCCTTAAACAGGCCCTAATCCATCTACTATGTCAGTATAGATCGAGATCATATCTCCAAGTGCAGGATGACCAAATTTGTGTGTTCAACTTGGTCTGTCAAGTGAGTCAGATAGGACTTGGCAGAGTTGTGCAGCCCTGGAATGCCAATAGGATACCAGGTGAGTTGTGGTGATATATATATATATATATATATATATATATATATATATATATATATATATATATATATATGTATATATATATATAGTTTTATAAAAGTATGACAGTTTTGTTCCAAAAAAAAAAAGAAAAAAGAAAAAAAAAATCTTCACCAATTTTACGCAGAGGTTGCGAGATGCCCAGGAAGAATTCCAGCAGAGCAGTTGCCCAGTGCTGCTGAAGCAGCATGGATGTATGAACAGGAGCTGGGGTTCTCCCTGACTTGGGTATCTGCCTTTGGCTCTGATCCATTTTCAACAGAGGAAGACCAATGCCGTGCTGAGCAGCTATTTGGAGCGAGGTTTCCAGACATATCTGTTTTTAACAATGACTTCAGCGAGTTTCAGGAGGCACTGTTCTACTGGATAAGTGTTGCTGAAAGACATGTGAGATGAATGTATTTGCTGAATGATACTAATAAATGTGAAGCTTGGTTAAAAACTGAATATTTTAATATCAAAAATTAAAGTGTAACAATTATGAAACCGCATTTATTGTAGTAACTGCTCTGAATTTACGGAGAACCTGATACTTGTTTAAAAGCATCAGGTCAAAAACTACTAAGTACTGAAAAAACAGCTTTATGCTTACAAATTAGATGCAGCATCACAAAACTACATTTTATAGAATTTATAGAACAACAAAAACGTTAGTATTGGACTGTATGAAAAAAAAACATTGGTTGTCACTCTAACAGATAAAAATTATGGCAGCAAAAACTTATCCAGTGCAGGCAGTGCCTCAGAGAATCCAGCCAACTCATGGATGCTGCCCTCCCAAGTCCACAGCACAACACATCGGGTAGTGGCTGTTATTCCACTCCATGATGCATGCCTTGCACCCGACCAGGCTTCTGCAGCAGATTGCAAACATGGACTTATCTACTGGACCAGTAGATTGAAAGAAGGCTGAAGAAGTTTAATTTTGCTGACAAATTGTAAGCCGAGCATTGACAGATGGTTGATATGCAGAGGTTTGCCAGCACACAGAATACTTCTGCAGATAATGCACCACAAAGGTAATAACCGATAGGAAAAAGTATGTTTTAGCAAGAAGTAAAAGTTTTCTTTCATCACCTCACAAACTTTTTCGTTGTGGTGCTACTTGAAATTGTGGCTGTGCTGGTTGGACGTCTGATCATCGTCCGAATGGGAAGATATTGCCACGTTTTTGTCATCCGTCAGTTTCTTCATGGACCTCTGACAGATGTTTAGATTCCAAGACAGGTAAGTATTTGTGTTACTGTTCTCATTCATATCAACACACATGAAACACATTTTTATACATAATAAAGTTATAATGTAACTTCTTAAATTACATAATCAAAGTCATGTAACCTAGAACTGCAGCTCTGTCATTTTATAGAATATTATTGATTTTAATATGCAAAGTTGTTTGTGCTACTTATGTATGAAATGTGCTTTATAATTAAAACTTCAATAATTCATAAACCATTGAACCAAATAGAACAAGCAAAACACAATCAGAGAAGGTAACTCAAATAAATAAATAGGTCTTAAATCTCAAATATATATAAAGAAACTAAAAACATTAATCAGTGCCCTCCTCTTGTATTTAACGACCCCCCGCCATTACCTCCATGAAGTTACTTTGCTTTGAAATGTTTTGCATTCTAACTTTAATCTTTTTATAAGCAATAACTTATGTTGTTGTGTACTAACATTGCTATGGCAAGTAAACTAACAATACTGTTTTAGCGTAAATAGCATAGCTTAGGTCAGGGAATTTATAACATGATTGGTTTGTACATAAAAATATAGAAACTGGTGTCTGGGCGAAGCGTATTGTCTGAGGCAGCTCGCGGTGTGCGTTGCTAGGCGCTGCCTGCGTCATCTCCAAGCAAACTTTATGTCAAACCAGATCATATCCAGGTCATTCAACTTGCTTGAGATCAAAAAATAAAATAAAAAAGGATAATGAGCGTTATTTGTTTTTTCCATTTTCAATTTTATGCACAGCCGAGTGTGAAGCGGCCGAGATGAAAATCAGTGCCTCCAAATCCGAGACCATGGTCTTGAGCCGGAAAAGGGTAGAGTGCCTTCTCCGGGTTGGGGAGGATGTGCTGTGAAGCGTGCACTGTACCAGTCTGTTGTGGTGAAGAGAAAGCTGAGCCAAAAAGCAAAGCTCTCTATTTACCGGTCGATCTATGTTCCTACCCTCATCATTGGTCATGACCGAAAGAACGAGATCCCAGATACAACCGGCTAAAATTTGTTTTCTCCATAGTGTGTCTGGGCTCTCCCTTAGAGATAAGGTGAGGACCTCAGTCATCTGGGGAGGACTCAGAGTAGAGCCGCTGCTCCTCCACGTCGAGAGGAGCCAGTTGAGGTGACTCGGGTATCTGATTAGGATGCTACCAGGATGTCTCCCTGGTGAGGTGTTCCAGGCACGTCCCACTGGGAGGAGGTCCAGGGGTAGACCCAGGACACCCTGGAGGGACTATGTTTCTCGGCTGGCCTGGCAGCGCCTCTGGATTCCCCCAGAGGAGCTGGCCCAAGTAGCTGGGGAGAGGGACGTCTGGGCCTCCCTACTGAAGCTGCTACCACCGGGACCCAGATAAGGGGAAGAAGATGGATGGATGAATTTTATGCACAACATTGGAAAACGGCTCATTATCTGTTTTTTCCATTTTGTTTTAAAACAAATAGAAAAGGAGCGTATTTTTGCATTTTAAATTTTTGTTTTTAATTTGAAAAACAAAAGAATGAATGATACATGGATTAGATTTTTCTCTTGAGTTGTCTTTGTTTCAGGACCGTCTGATCTGATCCAGAGTCAACAGAGTGTTGTTGAAGAGAATGAAGGGAAGTAATGTGTTCTCCAGAAATGCACCATCATCTCCACCATCCTGAGTAAGTTAAGTTCCAGGTGGTACTGATTAAAGCAGCGCTCCAGTGTCCACCTTCTGTTTGCATAAAGCACCACGTCTAAAAGCAGGTAATGTGCTCCACCTGACCTTTAAACTTAAAAAAGGATGGCACTTTGATAATTACTCCTACCTCTGATACTTGTTTTCATTACATTAAATATGTATATAAATACTGCATATGAAAAAAAGACATATCATTGAAATTTCATTAAGGTATTACACCAACCCACATATCTCATACCTCTGACTGAAAAAACAGCCACATATTTTGAGTTCAATATTAACAAAGGGCAGCAGAGTCCAAATACTAAACTGACACTATTTCTGACAGTGGGAGGAAGACAGAGGAGCACCAAGAGAAAACCCAATGTAAAGTCATGCAGAGGAATACAAACCCCAGGACCTTATCCTGCAAAGCATATGTGCCACTATGTAGGCCATGCAAAATAATAAAGATGATCATATTCTTTTTTTTTTTTTAGCACACTGCTTATGCATATGGTTCTAACACATACGGAACCACTATTTTAACAGTTCATTCTTGATTTCCAACCTTATTTATTAACATTTTCTCTAAAATGAACCCTTTTTGATTTCCAGGTTTTCTGAGGTTTTACAATGTCTTTACAACTTCACTCAGAAAGAAAATAAGTTAAGGTTGGTTTGAACTCTTCACACTGCTCTATAATAATAGTTATCTTGAATGCTTTCATATCCTTATTCGCAAGTATCTTTGAACATAACTGATAACAAATGCCAAAACAAGCTACCAGTTGAAAAAAGTGCTTTTAGGTAGGCCTATATATACTTCTGAAATGCACAAAATGTATCTGCACAAAATACATCTGTTTTGTTTTTTTAATTACAAAAACAAACCTTAACAAAAAGCACATTTTAGTCTGCTTTCCCTAAATTAGAAGCTGTAAATTACTTGCAAATGACCCTTTTCCATCACATTTATTATTTACACACCATTTACTCTTGGTTTGTTTTATAAATGTTTAGCATTAGCTGGAAGGTGCACCATAATCATTTCTTGTTAAACCATGTAAGCAAGTAAGCCATGGGAAAAAAGCCATAAAGTTTGGAAGAAACCCTAAAGTCCCATATATTGTTACTTAACAAGCTCAGTAAAGCTACACAGGCAGATAATATACAGGTTCATCAAACTGAAAGCCTCCTGAATGCAGGTTAATGAAATGTACTCTAATGGAGGATGAAGAACAGGGGGGAAAAAAAGGAAAAAACTCTAATAATAACAAAGGGGGAAAAAAAAATCCATGCTAGATTACTTTCAGTTTATTTCATTACATGTTACTCATACAAAATAATCTGTACAAAGGCTAAAATAGTTCATAGGCTTTGCATAGAAATACCAGCAATGTAAAAGAAAAACAGGAAAAGCCATGGTGGAATCCACTCTGTCTCTCACACACAGACACATACCAACACACAACTCTGACAACAAGAAGGCTAAAAAAGAGGCGAGATCAAGATCTATACAAAAAATATGGTGTCGATCATCCAGCTCTATTATGGTCTCACCTTCCTTTAGTTCTTTGTAAAAATTATTCATCAATGCCAATTATTCATCTTAAAACTCCACGATCATTAGAAAGAGGCAGGCAAGGAGACCACTCTCTTAAATTAAAGACATTTTGGGATCTGGACTGGCATCACTTATCTTTCCTCTACCTGCCAAGATCTTCAACCACCCCACCCTATAAAACCTGCATCAGTGTTTAAATGTGGCCTATGTAATTGACAGCAACATACATTTGGAATAAATCAGAAGCAAAGAGTGATTAAACGTGAAAGGCAATGACTATACGAAATATCGTTGGATTTAGTGACACACTTTCTTTTATTTAAAAAATAGTTGATTTGGAGAAAAGAGCAGGTGAGTGCACCACCTCAGATAGTGTAGCTTTGTGGCAGGAAGTCACAGGATGATGTTGGCAGGCATCAGTCCATGCCGCCGAGCAGAGAACTCAACATCAAACATGCTGCTTCTGCTGGAGAGCGTCATTTCCACTGCTCAAAGATTCAGTTTCAGCTCAGAAGACGCATTGCGAGCAGAATTACACAAACAGTGAGCCGAAGGTGGTGCAAAAATAAAGTGATTCAAATGAAATGAAACTGCTCAAAGTCTCTCACTGCCACGCAAACCCGGATCGCTGCAACGCATTTTGTCCCCGGCATCTCTGTGACTTACTGACGGATGAGAAAGAATATTTTATGCTTCCTCTGAAATGAAATAAACTACAAGATCAGAATCCAGTTAAACAAGACATGAAAAGCTTACAGATAAAAACAGACATTTACATAAAATTGCCACTGCAAGTGAAGGGAAAACAGCAAACAAATAAAAACAAAACAAAAAACAGACATTTAAAGTACAAGAAAAAGATATGTCTAACTAAGCATAAAAGCACATGGTTTGTTAGAAAATTGAGCTGTCAGTGTTCATATATTCATTTGTGTTCCAGCAACACTGACTTGAATCAGTTGTAAAATAAGCATATATATTTATGTACTGTTTACACATGGGGCTGACACCCTGTGCTGATATAGTAGAGCGACATGAGCTCCGTGGCACAGTGTCACAAAGACGCTTTAGAAACACATAACGGACCTGACATGAGCAGTTAAAAAAAAAAAAAAAACACACTGCAGGTTATAACTGCACATCATAATTTATTCAAAGTAGAACTAAAATATGCAGACAGTGCGTCTCTTTGTGGACCTTACCCACAAGTACGCTATATTACCAAAAGTATTTGCTAAACCCATGCAAATTGAATAACTGAATTTAGGTTTTCCAACAACTTTGATGGTCACTGGTGTAGAGAATCCTTTTTCTATTAAAAAATAGTCTTGTAAGTGGTATAATAGCAAAGTGGAAGCAATTGCGGATAACAACACAGCCACAAAGAAGTACAGTAGCCCGTGTAAAGTCCCAGAGCCTGATTGCTAGATGCTGCAAACTGTGCAGAGGTCACTAACTTTCTCCAAACTCTATGGGACCCTTAGATTAGCTCAGTAACTTTGAGTAGAAAGCTTAATGGAATGGGTCTTCATGGCTGCTGCATCCAGGCATCACCAAGTGTATTGCAAGGTATTACCTGCAGTTGTCTAAAGATGCTAGTGCAGGTTATCTTTTGCAATAAAATGGGCTTTGGAGCAGCTTGGAGAGTATGGTGAGCTGTTAAGTTCCAGTGCAACTTTAAATAATTTAGTAAACTCATACTTTTTATACTCCCAACTTTGCACAAACAGTTTTGTGGTTGACTGATTCTACTTCAAAAATTACTCCTGAACTATAAAAAAAGCAGACTCTATAAAGACAAGAATCAGCAAATATCTATATACATAAAAACACACACGCATATATATATATACATATATATATATATATGTATGTATTTTTCATATATTTTTCATCCACTCTGAATGTATACCATTGCATCAGAATTAAGACAAAAAAAGGCATTTTTGCACCTTGTACAGAAGCGCTGCCAAGACTAATCCCCTGTAGAAAAGAAGAATTAATGGTGTCATCTGCGTACAATGAGATTCAGCGGACCGTCTGTCACGCACGGATATAAAAAGCAGACGAAACTGCCTACACTACAAAAAAAAAGCAACAGTAAAAAAAAAAAACATTAAAACAGCAACGACCAACAAACAACATAACATCACTGGACAGCTGTTGTTGAAATGTCATTTGGCTCTGCCTTCTTAACTAACACAAAGGGAACCCTTACTCTGACAAAAGCAGACAAAGCAAATGTTTGTGGCTGGGTTGAGACACAGTTCACAAACAGAATCTGGGCATAGTATTAGAGCATGTGACAAAAAAAGAGTTATCAGATTTAGAGACTTATTTCCAGCATTTCGGGTCCTTTTGTTTTCTGTATCATCCGTTTATAAAGACCTCTCTATTTAATGTGAGGAAAAGCAGCACAGGTTACCCCCACAGGTGCTACTTTGCAAAGAGCTGAGCTGTTTCTCTGCAGCGTCTGTATGTGGAGTCAGGCGTCTGCAGAGCGAGGTGGTAAATAAGGTAGAACACTGTTGGGTGGAGGCAGCCAAGCTGGGTGGGGGGTGGGTGTGGGGTGGCGGGGAGCTGTACTGTAGAAGCCAATTGTGCATGCACTGTACAGCAGTGGCTGTCTTGCTAAACCCCATGGACACAATAAGAAGCGTTGCTAAAAAGGGCCACATGGTAGATCCTAATAACCTGTCGTTAAAATGATGCAGCCATAAAACCAATTAAAACATGTCAGTTAAAACCCAAGAAGATACAGTATGAAGTAAATAATCTGCTTGGTTAGAAAATGTATGGTAATTACATTTGTCCCCGAATAATCTTTCAGAAATAAACCTTTAAGGGAAAAGAAAAAACTTTTTTGCACCTTTCTGGACTAAATTTAGATTACAGACACAGAGCCTCATGTGGCTCTAATGGGTTATAATCAAGGGCTGCTTTTGAGGTACATGCAGTGAATGCAGGACCTTTGCAAACCCTTTGCTTCCAGAAAAAGTCATTTTCGACAGGTGAATAGCAGGTTTGTGGGGGAGAGCTAGAGGGGATTATAAAGTCATTTATTCAGTCAGCTGCACTATAGGCATCCAGTTTCTTTTATGCACTGTATGCTCAGGCTTTAGCTGAATGGTTGCTGTGAATTAAATGAAAACAGAATGCCACAGATCAAGCAATGCTCCTGTCTCGACCTCATTCTGCCTAGCAAGCGTGTGCAATGCAAACAATACAAATGGGTGGATTATTTAACCAACAAAGGTACTAACTAGGAGACACAATGATGTGTTGCAATAAAAGGTAAGCGCTGCAGCAGCAGAAAACCACAAAGACAGTGCCTCAGACACTGAAAAGGGAAAAGCAAAATAGAAGGATTGAGCCTATAAAACTGACCTTCCTGTGTCCCTGAAGTTTTATGTTTAAATTTCAGTTCATTTATGTATATATTATAATGACTCCAATAAACTGAAGTTAATCAAATGTAGGCTTATTTTATATTTTTAATTTAGACAAGATTTTGTTGTAATAGGTCAGGGAATGTGCAGGCAGCAGCGTTGGTTTGTATAGAAAATTAGAACAGTAAGATAAGTAACCTCAAATAGAAAAGAAAACTTTGTATAAAAAAATAAAAATATTGTCTAAAGGACTAAGAATTAGGAATTATAATCATGACTTTGCTAGAAAATATAGATAGAAAATACGTTGCTAAAATTTTAATGGCAATCTTTAAAAACATTTTAGGGTCCAAGGGACACAGATGGGCCCCTGGTCTTAAAGTAACAGGTTCTTTTTTTATCCTGATTTTAGATCTGATCATCTCTTTAATCAGCAGCCAGATCTGCTCCAGTTTCAACCTCTGACCGTTTCATCAAACGGCATAAAGCGACTTGCTAATTTAACACTGACCTATGTCACTTTGTGCAGGCGTGTTGGTACACTGTAATGTAAAACCTTACTCTACCTTGGAAACTGAGAATGATGCTGAAAGTAAAGCGGTAAATCTTGGTGCGTGCTTAAGTTTTTGCTTTTATAACTTGTCTCTTCATTTTTTTTTCTGTTCCATCTTCTTAAATGTCAAAACAATTTACCCGCAGAGATGTGACAAATACTGAATATCCTAAGCCTCACAGTCGAAGCAGAAACAATCCCCTTCCAATAAAGGTATTCTTCACATCTCTTTATAACTTAAGGAATTTTGTGCAGGAAAGGTGGTGGTGGGGGGGGATTCTAACAGCTGAAGAGTATTTTTGGTCTCCAGGAGGCAGACTGATGCCGGGGCTTCCTGCTGTGCATCAGTGCGTAAACAGACATAAACAAACGTGTCCTACAGGGCATGTTGCCATACCTATCTGTCTGACTTTGATATGCCCTCCCCACACCATTCTTTAGGCTGCATGAAAAGTAAGCTCAGATGAAATATGTGAACCTGCAAACCAAAGGTGTGACATTGTAATGAGCAGGAATGTCAAACTCATTGCTTCCTGACATGTGGGAAGAGAATCAGGGTGCAAACAGAAAAATGGAGGCATGGCTGAGTTCAGGCAGACTGAATAGATGAGAGCTTAAAGCGAAAGCCTCTAGGTTCTTCCTGCCAGCACAATTGATGGCTGGAGCAGTGAAAAAAACATGTCTGCTGTTAGCCTTTTCTCTCTCTGATCCTATTTTTCTTTACCCCTTCAGAAATTTGGACTGAATGATCAAACAAAGACACAGAGCTAAACACACAAACAGTCTATTCTTTAAAAAAAACAACAACTTTATCACCCGGATCCCTTGAGACACCGACAGGTTTCGTGGAGCACTAATAAATGACAGTTTAACACTATGAATGTTGCGTCAAAGGGGAACTTGAACACAGAAATGTGGGTTCATGGACAGAGCTGTGAACTAAAGTTTGTAACCCTGCAGATTCTGCATGTTTACATGATTCTACTCCAACACATTTCCTTTTTCCCAAAGTCCTACAGCTCAGATAAAAAATAAAAAAAATCATGGATCACAACCCGAAATGCATACGAGCAGATCACAGGGGCACTGATAATTTTCATAAAAACAAATCTAAAACCTAAAAAACTAAATTTCAGAGACAGGTAAGCCAGTGAAGTAAAAAACTAACATGCCATATTGGGTATTGATCCATTTACAAGGGAAAATGGGGTTTTTGTGTCACTAAACATTAATAAAACCTCCAGAACGGAGGAGAGGAGTCTCTGTTTTCATTTCATGGGTTTTTCTTTGCCTTGGAGATGCTGTATGGGCATTAGTTCAGTCTTCATTGTCTCAAAAAACAACTTTCCTTCCAGCAAAATGTTAGTCAAAGCAAAAAATAAACAAAGCAAATGTCATTCATAATAGATGTTGTTTTCTTTCTTGCCAAAAGAAGGTGTCCCTTCAGTTCCAGTTGTGTTGCTCTTTGGCAAAATGAATGATAGGTAGAGAGAGAGCAGGAAAGGTGCAGGAACACAGCTGAAATCTGTACAGGCCAAGGAAGGGGGGGCGGCGAAAATGCTTTACAGTCATTGTAAAGTGAGAGGGAAAGCATGGATGTTTAAATCAGTCTCATCCCATTAGGCAGGAGCGCATCTGCTTGAGGTTAGGCGTCGTACTTCTTTCCTGTTCTGTGGATGTGGTGGAACAGCGTCATAGAGAACGCCATGCCCAGGAGCTGCAGAGAAAAAAAGAAGGAAACTGTAAATAAGTGACTTTAGGTAGAGTTACTCAATTTATAGTTGAATCCAGTTATTTTATAACTGCCTAGTTTTATTTTGCACAAAAACACTATTAGTTTTAGCTTGGTTGGGATGATTAATATTACATTTGTTTATTAAAGGCCTCGAATTTAAAGGAAGAACTTTTCAATATATTTTCAGACCTTTGTTTTCTTAATGAGACCAGGTCATACTGTACTCTGCCTTTAAAGATTGCTATGCGATTAGTTTACTCTGGTTGCATACAAAGACTATCCAATTAAATTCCAGCTTGCTGTTGCATGATGAGTTTTGATGAGGTCGACACAACTGGTCTGCTGACCAGCAGTGTCCACTAGACAGCCACTGAAACCTTCTTTAAGTAGTGTTGGCCACAGAAGCTCATTGTTAGAGGCGCTAGCTGGTCAGAGAGAGGAAGAAAAATCTATGCAAGCTTATCCGAGTTTGTAGGAGGTTTAAAGATTTACATATTTCAACTGTAGGCAGATCTTTAAGAGACACAACCATAACCAGCAGCGTCGAACCTGGGTCAAGGAGAAAAAAATCTAAAACGCGGTCCAGTGGTCATACACCATTTTTGGGATGAAAATAAGTTTATTATTTCATTTAGAAACTGAATTTCTGGTGTCCAATTTCAAGTTCCGTTGTGAAGCTTCAACAGTCATGATTTATTCTTTATTTATTATTTTTTCATACTTTTTTTTCTCCACATGGTTTGTAAGGTTTAAAGTTGCCATGCTTCCTTGTGCCAAAGAGATGCTGATTTCATTCCAGTTGGACTTGGTACATACCCACAGTGCAAAATGGACAAATTATAAACCTTGTAGAATCTATGGATTCTTGCAAGAGGTAAATTGACAAATACAGGAACCAACTGCGCTTAAACTCATAATCTTAAAGCACATTCTGAACACCACAGAAGAATCAAAGGTAAATGTCCTCCATGCTAGACCTCTTTGATGCAGCAATTCATGTAAAGGAGCCCAGAACAACTTGGAGCAGATATGGAGTTTCTGTTCAGTATGCCCCCATTTAAGGGTTATCATTTTTCTAAATGGTCTATTGTAATATTTGATTTTAAGGGAAAACTTAAATGTGGAGTTGTATTAACTGTGAGCCACAACCGTTAAAATAAACAGAAATGCACATTTGGTAGTTAATAAGCCTGTAGTTAATACTTCTATAAAACAGAGGATGCTCTTTTAGGTAAAAATTCAGAGAATAATAAACTTTGTAATTGCTGCTGAGCTGCAGATGAAGTTTGATGTATTTAATTTCTATTCCTTAGGTTTATTCGTCCTTTTGATGCCCAATAAACACAAAAGTTTCGGTCAAGATCTGTCGTATTTGTGCATCTTTCAAATGCGAACCTTGGATTTTTGGTGATGGAAATATATAGCGTCCACAAGCATTGAGTGAATGAATCAAATTGAGATGCCTGTGAATCAGTCTGTAGCCATACCTTTGAAGTATTTATAACCCATGATGCTCCAACATCAAACACAGTCACAAGGCTGTTCCTAAAACCATTACCTTGAAATATTTGTATGAAAGATAAACTGTATTTTGTTGAATGGGCATTTGGCTCACAACAAGAATTACTAGGATTGATTTTATATGACTCTTTTAGGTATAAAATAAGCTACACATCCTTCCAGAATCAGAATCAACTTCATTAGCCAAGTTGGGGAACAAACAAGGAATTTGACCTTGGTTTCCACTGCTCACATGGTAATGCTATTAGTTTGTTTGCATGTCATAGTAGTGCAGCCTGTTTGTTAGTGTCCCAGCAGAGTAGCTGACTTCTCTAGCTGTAAGGTGTTTATTGTGTTCATACCTACGGTGTGACTAAGGCCAGGGATCTTTCTAAATGGAGTTTGCATAATCCAGCTTCTCTTCTCTGTAAAGCGGTCTGTATAAACTGGCCTAACGTGTGCATCCATGGTTGTTATCCTTTGTGTGTCTGTCTCCATGTGATTGATTGATTGTTGGAGCCTGTCAGGGGTGTATCTAACCAATGAAACCTGCTTGATTTGGCTGAATTGATGTTTGTTTTTTATTATCCCAAATCATTAACTTTTTATGAGAATCGAAATCAATGGATATTGGATGTAAAATGGAATTTCTCAGATGCAAATAGGATGAAATTCAAGGGAAAATTTGGGCTGGATAACTTCTGTTTTGTCAGCACACAGCAAAAAAGCTAATAGATTGTAGTTTGCATGGATAAAAAGCAGAAGCTAGTGGGATCTAAAGGTACCACTTGGCTAAGAGGTTAATTACAAACTACTGAACTGATTAAGAGTCAACCAGTTTGTTTACATAACATATCCTTGCTGCTTAATTCCTTTTGAAAAAAAGATAAACAGTTTTCAGTCATGCTAAGTCTGCATCTAGTTTGGATAGTTAAATTATACACCTTTGGCCATTCATTTCGGCATCTTGATTTTATTGTTTCCCCATCTCTTTGTCATGTTTCTGAAGTGGCAGTGAAATGACATAATCTTTGCGTTTGACATCTGATTCTTAAATGAAAACACTGTCGTAAATACTGTGATGGACCTGATTTGTATTCAAGGCGATGCTACACTCAGATCTCTGTTTCTCTATGACCAATCTATTTCCTAAGCCAACTTCAGCTTATAAAGACTGCCCAAGCACACGTGTACTAAAGACACCATCTACAAATATAGGTTCATTTTGAAAACACAATGCATTCCCTTTGAAATATAGCAGAGTGCATTCGATAAAACTGGAAGTCCCCTACCTAACTAGCAGCATCAATTAGAGGAGCATACAAAGCTAAAAAGAACTGAATCAGATTTACAAACTTCTGATAAGCGAGACAGGATAAATACAACCTTTCTCCATAGTGGTAGCAGATTCATTCTAATGCATGTGCATTAGAAATTTCTACTGCAAATTGAGAAGGAAGATCTATATATGTAGCTGATAAGGACTAACCAAAAGAATAAAGTCAACAAACTACTGAATTGAAGCAAAAGTTGTGTTGTGTTATTAAAAACAGCACTTGCCAGAACCCAAGCAAAGTTTCCTTTATTTATTAACTTGGTTTGCAACCACTTTCTACAACATTACTTATTTCTTTTTTTATAGATGTGGACTTTTGAGGTACTTGACTCCCCTTTGCAGACTAGGCTAAAAGTTAGCCTACAAGATATAAATTACCTTAACCTCAACCTCAGAGTTCAAGCACAACTGTCCTCTAAGGACATCAACTATGTGCATAATATTAAAGAAGTCAACAAAGAGATTTAATGGCAAGGACACCTTGCTCTAAATGAACCATGGACTCAAGGATTAGGAGTATTTCCTTGCCTTGAGCAAAGTAAGAGGCATATTAAGGAGAGAAGGGGAGATAAAAAAAAGGAGATCCTTTATCAACAAGCAGCAAAACAGAGGATGGATTCTGTAGTATTAAGAGGGATGAGTAAATAATATATAACAAATACAGCAGGGTGTTTTGAGGTTCTTCCACAGCATGTGCCTTTAAGGCTTCAATAATGAAAAGAAAGGTAAGAAACTGTCAGAAATGTAAGGGGTGGGTGGCAGAGATTAAATGGACTAAACAGGAAAAGGTGCTGCAGAAAGAGCTACTGTTGCAGAAGCTTCCCCAAAATAGAGCTCACGTGGACAGAGGCGTGAATTTAGAAAATCCAGGCCAATCAAACTTTCTCTAAAGATGGCAAAAAGAAGAGAGACCATATCAAGTTCCCACTCTGTTCTAATGCAAGAATGTATTGAACTCCAGTTGCAGGCATATTCCTGTCAATAATTTCCAAGGCAATGAAGCCCTTTGGGCAAGCTATTAAAACTATAAAGCAAAGCAGGTACTGTGTTGCCATTTTTACTTATCAATATTTCCTTTAAATGCGTGACATTTAACTGTTTCTATGTAGAAGTCTTAGTAATAAATCATACAGCAACTGAAAAAAATATATCTAAAAAAATATACCCATCTTTTGATCTACAAACAAAGCAGAAACTCCAACACACTGATTATTTATGACACAGGGCACAGTCTTATCCGTCACAGTCAGTTTCCCAGAGAGAGAGAAAAAAAAAAAGAGAAAAACAGAAATATAGATTTTCATAAATGTTATCGAATTTTACCACTGCCATATTTTCTCTGTTGTTGCCTTTTTCCCCAATTATCAGTTAAAAGCCAAGTTTTAGTATCAAGGACAGACAGCCTGAGTAAAAATGTAAAATAATCATGATTTCAGTGAGGAGAAACAAATCCAAACCAACATGGTCCTATGTGAAAATATAATTCTAATCCTCATTAAATCCTTAATTAAATGCAAATAACCACATTTAATGATAAACTTAAATCACGCTCAATAGCCACATGCCTTATATTCACACCTAACGTGATTGGAGCAGCAAAAAAGCGCCTGCTGCTTCATTTTTGATGCTTTTATATTAAAGGCATTTTGGAGCATTTTCACAAATTTTTAAAAGATCTGCCCTCTCTACTTTATAAAAATTGCACATGCACAACCCTGTACCCGCTGCAGAGAGGAAACGCCTATTAAAGGCCAAGTCCAGTCAGCAAGGAATGATCAATATATCATTATCTATAACTAATACTAATACGTTTACGGTGATTTAATGAATTTAGCATTAGTGTTCTTTGAAAAATGGATGTCTCCAGTAAGCACAGCTAAATAAAAACTACTTTTAATTAAAAACACAGATCATTTATTGAACAGCATGTAATCATTTCATTTTCATAGTACTTTCAGAAGTTTGAATTCTGAACACGACTGAAATTTTTCTTTAAACAAGTGCAAGAGCATGGACAAACCCATTTCTCATCTTGCACGCTCTGTTTAAAAGTTGCTGTTCTCATAGCTCATACAAACTTACTGTGCCTTCATTTCCTTTAATTCAGGTGCAATTTTGAGAAATCATTATTGCCCAAAGTTACTTG